CAGGGACAGGAGGGACAGGCCCCTAGAGTCAGGGACAGGAGGGACAGGCCCCTAGAGTCACAGACAGCTCTGGGTGGAGTCTCAGGCACCCTGACTCTTGTTGCCCATTGCAGGCTTCAAAGCTGAGTGGCTGGCCGTGAAGGACGAAAGTCTGTATGTGGGTGGCCTGGGAAAGGAGTGGACCACCACCACGGGTGAGGTGATGAACGAGAACCCTGAGTGGGTGAAGGTGGTGGGCCGCAGGGGCAGCGTGGACCACGAGAACTGGGTGACCAGCTACAATGCCCTGAGGACCGCCGCCGGCATCCGGCCACCAGGTGAGCCAGCACAAGTTTGACTTCTTTCAGGAGAAAGGCAGGAGAGGCTCCTGCCTGCTCACGGCTCGTCCCCCAGGGGAGGGGGACCAAGTAGCACTGCCCAAGGCTGTGCCAGGTGTTTGTGGGTTCCCACCACCGACCTTCTGGTGAGCCCCAGGGTTCCTTGCTAGAGTGTCATCCATTCCGCTGCCCCTGGGGGCAGGCGGAGCGCTGTGGACCTCCACGCCCCGTGATGCTCAGGTGGGGCCTGGGAAGAAATTGGCTCCTTGTGTTTGCCGTCAAGTGGCCTCCCCTGGAAGGCACCTGCTTCTTCTGACAGCTGCCCTCCCCCCCATCCCTCCAGTCTCTGTGGCTGCAGTGGGGGTGCTTGCGGTCAGTTCTAATAAAGTGACTCCAGTGGGTCACCTGGTCCCTGGCGCTGCCCTCAGTTCCCAGCCCCGGGGCAGGACCCCACCCCACAGTCTAGTTAGCTCTCCCTAGATCCATCCCCTCTCACACTGAGGCCCACGGAGGGTGGGCATGCCAAAGACCACCCAGGCCCTCCCCTCAGAGTGCATTGGACAAGAGGAGGGTCCCGGTGGCCAGGCGCACCACACTTCAGACCGACCAGCTGCCCCGAGGAAGGAAGCGCCTGGGGACTGCTCTCCTGTGCCCACCCACAGTCCTCATGAGTCACAGCAAATGAGCAGACCCCCATCTGCCCTGCGTGTCCCTGGGCCACCTGAAAGTGAGAAATGCCATTTTGCGGGGTCCTGCCCCAGACGTCGAGCCCTGGTGTCACAGCAGGTAAACGCTCAGCTGCAAACAGCAAGGGCGGTGGTTTGGGCCCCAGCCTCGGACTCAGAGGGAGAAAGACAGGCCAAGTGCTGAGGAAGAGTGGCGCAGCCTCAGAAGCGCCCTGCTGGTTGCCTGCGGCAGTGAGCCTGCTGCCTCTGCAGCTAGCGCCTAGCTACAAAGCAAAGGGTCAGCAGTTCGACCCCACCAGCTGCTTTGCAGGTAAAAGACGAGGCGGTTAGCTCCCACCTCGTAGGGCATAAACCCCGTAGGCTGTCCCTCGATGCCCTAGGGGGTCTGTGTGTGGGAGTTAGTGGGCCAGCAGGAGGGCGACAGGGTGCTCAGGGGCATCTGCTGACCGCGCTGTGCCCACAGGCTACCTCATCCACGAGTCGGCCTGCTGGAGCGACACCCTACGGCGCTGGTTCTTCCTGCCACGCCGCGCCAGCCACCAGCGCTACAGCGAGAAGGAAGATGAGCACCGGGGCACCAACCTGCTGCTGAGCGCCTCGCCCGACTTCCAGCACGTGGCCGTGCGCCGCGTCGGCGAGCTGGTGCCCACGCACGGCTTCTCCTCCTTCAAGTTCGTGCCCAACACGGACGACCAGATCATCGTCGCCCTCAAGTCCGAGGAGGACAGCGGTCAGGTGGCCACCTACATCACGGCCTTCACACTGGACGGCCGCACGCTCCTGCCTGAGACCCGAGTCGGGGCCGTCAAGTACGAGGGCATCGAGTTTATCTGAAGCCACCGAGTAAGGCATGACCCGCAGTGATAAAGCCCAGGACAGGCCGGCACCTGCTGTCTCTCCTCAGACCCCGGCGGTCTGAACCCAGGTCTGCCCCTGCACAGCCAGCCACCCAGACTTCTGTGCGCCGCCGCCCTCTGGTGGTCATGGTGGTCACTGCACCTGGGGCCTGCGGTTCTCACTCCGAGCCTCCCCACTTCCGTCTTCCACTCTCTGCTCAATGGGCATTACCTGAGTGTCTGGCCTGGGGCCCAGACGTGGATATCAGGGGACGTCACAGGGTGGTGTAGAGAGGACAGGCTCTGGGACACGGGCCTGGCCCTGCTGGATGCCGGCCCAGTACTCCCCCAGCCCCCACGCCAGCGTCTCCTGCCAGGATGCCTCCGCAGTGAAAGTCATGTTCTTCCCTGGGAGCGTGGGGCCACCTGCTCACAGAGAACAGAGTCCTGCAGGACGGCCCCCCAGGCTGGAGATGGCCACGGGACTCAGTCTCAGGCGGCACTTGTAGGGGGAGGGGATGCCGCCCTGCCCAGCCCTGGCAGCGTCTGGGGTGACTCAAAGTCTCCCGGACTCATTGGACCCAGGTTCTGCCCACCTACACATGGCCCTGGGCCCGGCAACTTCATCCCGGGCTGTGTGTCTGAATGAGGCCCTGCCTTGGCACGTGCACATGGGGGCACGCACGCGCACTCAAAACAGGCACAGGGTCCTTGGTTGCCCCTACTGTCTGTCCTGCTGTCCTCTCAGTGCTGCAAGGCATAGGCAGGCTCAGGCAGATGCTAGGCCCGACCAGCGTTGTGAAGGGGTGTTTTGCCTGCCCACTGCCCCTCCCTAAAGAAGTGACCTCATTCCATGTGGCCACAGGCCTGGGCGGGCAGGGCCTACCGCCATCTGGCTGCTGACCCCAACCCACTGCCTGCTGCGGGGACTTCTGTCTGGGTGACCTATGGGGGTCACCCTTTAGGGACCACCCCTTTCCTCCTGCTCCACCTTCTTCCCAGGGAGCCCCAGGCAGGAGGTGCCACCTCCATGTAGAACTCAGCCCGCCAGGCAGGGCGCTCTGATACCCAGCCACCCCCGGGGGAGGCCCTCACGTGAAAACTAGAGGACAAGCCAGCTTCTCTCATCGCCAAGCTGGGTAAAAGTGGTGCTTCCAACGAGCCAGACATCATGGGAGGGCTCAGGGCTGTGGGCACATGAGATGACTTGCGGTGACTTGGGGCTGGGAAATGAGATGGTCCTCCAGCATCACTGTCGGAGCCGGAGGGCCCCCGTCCAGCCCCCTGTGTCTTGAAGCAGCATTTCACAGGGCTGTGCTGTATTTGAAGTGTGCCCATGTTTGAAAGCCAGCCACCTCCGGCTTCCCCCCCCCATCCCTGTCATCCCTACTGGGCCCATGTTTTACAGCAATAAACCATGGAGGGGCTGGGCACTGGTGTGTGTGTGAGGGGCACCCCAAGACTGCAGGGGACAGCATCTTCAGGGGGAGAGGGGACCCAGGAACATGTGCCCTTTGCCCCTTCCCACCCATTCTTCCCTGTGTCCATGGAGAATGGCTCCGGATTGGCCATGGGACCCTGACCAGGGGCTGGGAGGGAAGTGCTTCAGCTTGGGATGGCCGACTCCCTGTCACCAGGTTCTCAGGACAGCTCCTGCTGCCCCTCTGCCCAGCCTCTGGTCCCTTCTCATGGCTATAGCTCCCAGAGTCCCTCACTGCTTATGCTCATGCCTCTAGGGACCGCCCCTGTAGGAAACCTCCCACACTGCCCCAGGGTGTGCTGTTGGCCCGGAATTTTGAGGATGCCCCAGCCAGCCCAGAGAAGGAGCACCCCTCTGGAGGAAGCACAGCAGAGGACTCTTGGACGTGAGGGGCGGGCTGTCTCCTGTGGTCTGGGCGTGCCATCCGGTGGGGCCAGTGCCTGGAGCTGCCACAGTGGTCTCAAGCCGAGAGTGGGGAGGCTGGCACAGGACCGGGCAGTGCTTCAGAACGGTGGCTCTGACTTGGAACTGACACGATGCAGGAGACACTGCTGGTCAGAGCACCTCGTGTAGCCACCCCACCTGCCAGTGGCTTTGAGCAGGTTCCCGGCACAGCTTCCAGTGACAGCAGACTAGGAAGGAAGGCCTGGTGACTCTGCCCAAAACCAGCCTGTGAGCGCCCCAGGGTGGGCAGACGGTCGGCTCGGCAACTGGCCACAAGGTGGTGTAGGGCCAGAAACGGCTTACCCATGTGCGGCATCCCCATGAGCCAGGGACACCGGGGAGATTGTCTGGGTGTGGAAGCTGGGCCAGCCCAGCCGTGGGAGAACGCGATAGGAGTGTCTCCAATGGTCAAGTCCCGTGGGCGGGCGAGGCCCGGTCTGCGAGGAAGGCAGGTGGCGCTGTGCCTTCAGCTGGGGAGGAGTAGAGGTGCGGAGCTGCCGAAGGCCAGGGAGCCCAGCGTCAGCCGTGACTCCTCGAGAGGCGTGGCACCTGAACACAGAGGGCTGTGATGGCCCTTTGTCCAGTGTTTGAATCTGGTGGGGAAAGGAGACTTAAGTCCATCTCACACGTTCACCCTATGCTGGTGTGCGCTTGAAACTAGTAAGTTTTCTTTGTTTGTTTTTTAAACTTAAAAACAACACCTTCACATACACAAGACTCCAAGCCCTGACAGCTTCCCTAGTGACTTCTGTCCAAGTAAATGACCAATAAGACCTAGTTTTCTAGGAAATAGAGCCTGAGGGTACCTGCTAAGCCAGACCAGAATAGTGCAGGCCAGTACCCCTGATGGGTGCAGATGCAAACAACCCAACAAGCGGCCCCAGCACGGCGTCAGAATGGAGGCACGCCGAGACACGGCCTCTGGGACCAGCGATGCAAGTTGGTCCGACCTGCTAAAGCAACCCACGTGGTTCGGCAAACTGACCAGTGAAAGGGATCGAACCCACCATCCTCCCAAACACTGAAGGGGAAAAAAAAACCAACCTTTGACAAAATCCAATACTCACGACAAGGACTCTAGTCAGACTAGGAACAGAAGGCTCACTCTTCATCTGATAGAAGGCCTCTGAGAAGCCACGGCCACCAGGCCTCCTGGTGGGACGGAACGTCCTCTCCCAAAGGGGCGGACGAGGTATGCATGCTCTCACTGCCTGCCTTCTTCCTTTGCTCGGTACTTTTTCAGTTTGACATCGTTTCACGCCACATACAAGTTGCCAAAAACTATGGAGAGCTCTGTGTACCCGCCATGTAGCTTCTTCCCGCCAAACCACCCCCATAGCTGTCAGACCCCTCAGCCCTCCAGTCACCATGGCTGGAGCAGGCTGCCCGACAGACAGGAGGAGGAAAGGGCATCCCCGTTGGAAAGGGTGGAATGAAGGAAGGCATGTTGAATACCTAGACAGAAATGACGGAAGAGTTAGAAGAAAACATACTGGGGCCAACATTCCGTTTCACAAACTTGCAGGACTCCTGGCCCATGCATGCAAAGGGGAGCCTTATTTCTATCTAGCTGCAACCAACAAGTGGATGTTCCATTTAAAAGAAAAACAAAAACGTCCCATGTTCAGTAACACCAGAGAAACCTGACCCGTCTAGATACAAATGGGCAAAACCTGTGCGCTGAAACTGCAAGTGGTGAGATTGAAGAAAGTCCCCCAGATGAGGACCCTAGGGCCGCAGCATGGAGCAGAAGGCTTGGTTTAGGGGGAAAGACCGTCATTGGAGAACGCGCAGGACCTGGCGTGAGCACCGCATGTGTACCTCTGTTCATCTTGACAGAGGAGCCAGGTGGCATGGGTGGAGCATCCAGGTTGGCAGTTCAGGCCCAGAACTGCTCCATGGGAGAAAGGCGTGGCAGTCTCTCCCCTTATAGGATGGCTTCTGCACCTTAGGGTGCAGTCTTGTCACGCTGACTCGGGTTGGAGGGGTCAGCTGCAGATTTGGGTCCATCAAAGCAGGGTGGTGGTGATGCAGGACAGAAACCAGCGGAGCAAGAAAGCCAGGGCCGGCTTCCTGTGCAGGGACCGGTGGACCTGTGGCAGTAGTGGTCACTGGGAAAGAGTTGCTTTTCCTCACCAGTGGGGCTAGAAACAGTTTTTCAGCTGGAACGACTCCCCCCCAGGAGCCTTCCCTCTGCACACACACGGACAACATGAGTGAATCACAGACCTAACTGCTAGCAAACACTACAGAACCCTCCACAAAGACGGGGGAGGGTGGTGTTCTTGTGCCCCTGGGGGCAGCCAAGGTCATCTCAGCTGTCACACCAAAAGACAGCCAGCTTCAAACCCCTTGCTCTTGGAAAGACACAAGCATAAGACGGAATAGAACATTGGCAAATCGTTGATCTGCCGAGGGCCTTGCACCCACAGATGTAAAGAAAATATACAACTCCATGATAAGACAGCCCAATTTTGAAAAACGTAGGGCTTAAACGCACACCTCGAAGCTGTACAAACAAGCAAGCATTTGACAGGCTGCTCAACCTCACTAGTCAGGAAAACCACTGCGCATTCTCCACACACGCTGCCCATCCCCCTCCACCACAACCACCGGCCCCTCAGCAGTCAAGTCCCACGCCCACTCCCCACAGGGCTTCCAAGGCTGGCCCCTCTTCCCCTGGCTGAGTGACACATGGCTTAACCACTGCCACCAGGGCTCCTTGTGGCGACCCTACAGGACAGGGCAGAACTGCCTCTGGGTATCCCAGACCGACTCCACAGGAGCACACAGCCCGGCAAGCAGCTCCCACGGTTTCCAACTGCTGCCCTTGCACCACGGGGTCAGAGTCGCTGAAACAGTGGCAATGCCGTGGGGCTTGGGCTCCCTGGAGTTCGCAGACACCGCCACAGGGCCCCAGGTGGCAGGGCCACGCGGGCGCAAGCTTTGGGCCTTTCTCCAAAGTTGCAGATGGTTGAACGTTATGACCCAGGAGTCCGACGCCTGGTTATACACACGGAAGACTCGTATCCCAGGGTTCTGTGTTGCTAGCTGTCAAAAGCCGGAGAACGCCCACCAGTGGATAAGGCACGCGTGGACGAAAACCGCCACGGTCCAGTTCAGGGCTGCTTCAGTTGTTTCCACAACCACCTCTCCGCCCGAGAAATGTTACTGACCCCAGTGTGCTGGCACACATCAAACACTGATAGTGCATTATAAATTCACTTCAAAACAATTCTTTGGTATGCCTATCATTTTATTTACTTGCAGATGAAAGCAAGTTTGCACACAAACGAGATGGGGCTGCCTGTTTATTTTCGCATGAAGAATTAAACCCCGGTGGGATACTTGATACTTGCAGGACTGAGAGCGTCGTCGCCAGTGCTCTCCGGAGACGACTGCTATCGCCGTTGTTAATCATCGGTGCGGAGAAGGCTGCTCCCAGTAAGCGGTGGCTCGGTGCCGTTCTAACGCACAGCACCCCCTTGCTCAGCAGAACAAAACCACCCAGGCCTGCGCTGTCCTGTCCTCACGCTTCCTGCGTCTGAGCCGGTGGTTGCAGCCACTGGGTCGGTCTGTCGGTCCGTGTCATCGAGGGCCTTCCTCTTGGTCGCTGCCCCTCTAGCAAGCACGACGTCCTCCACGGACCAGTCTCCCGACATCACGTCCAAAGGGTGTGAGATGAAGTCCTGCCGTCCTTGCTGCTGGGGACAGGCTGGCTGTGCTTCCAAGACGTTTGTTGGAAGAAGTTCCAAGAGTCCCAAGCACACTCTTGGCAGTCCGTCCCAAGCCCGGCGCTCTGCCCCTGAGTGGACTCTGACTCAGACAGGACAGCACTGTCCCGGCAGCTTTCCAAGGTCGACTCTCCTCCGAAAGAGGGGGCTTTCTCCTCCCGTAGAGGGTGGCAGTGTGGGAACCCGCAGGGGCCGGTCTGC